AAAAACAGCCCACAAAGTTCTAGTAAGGAAACAACAAGCGCCTACAAGGAGCACAGATCAGGTGGGCTGCAGGCACCAGCAAGCATGGACTCGCCTCTCCATCACCATGCAGAAGATGACGCAGGGGTCTGTTCCCTCCCCCATCCCCAGTTTCCAAGTTTCAGTTGACATATCTGTGATTTCAAACCAAGATGCTATTTTTATTTCTTGTATTACACCCCTTTTGAGAGTCTCTTTTGACACCTGCGTTTTGGTCCAGATTTATGACAGTGGTTTGCAATGCTCAAGACTGATTAGGAAGAGAAACAGAAGCCTAGGAGGATGAGCTCGGTACACTGGCCCCAGAAAGCAGGTGGGCCAGGCACATATCACAATGCAGTCCTTCCAAAGCTGGGCCCAACCTGGGATCTGCATCCAGAGTAAGTCAGAACCACCAAGTCAGGGCCTGGGCGACTAGCCACTTCATTCTCATGAAAAGCCTTGGTGGCGAGCCACTGCCATCACCCCTTAGCTGGGCCACATGGCATCTGGACAGTAAGCTGGAGTGGCAAACCTGAGCATCATTTGGCCTTCCTGCAGATCACGGCAAGCCAACTACAAGGCCCTCTCCTGCAGGTCTGGTCAGGGTCACACACTCTGCTAATGGGGACCAGGGAGGGAACCCTAAGGAGGGAGTGAGCCAGGTTTGTAGAGAGAGGGTTTGCTTGCTCAGTATATCTAGATCATCTGATTTCCCCTCAAAATACAGAAAGCCAGAATTGTATATTTTAGGTTTTAGGAACCCTGTGTGGGGTTTCTAATGCCATTGAGGCAGAATTGACCTGTAGGCTCTGCCTGGGACCCAGCCTCAAACTCTTCCTGTCTGTGGAAATTATCCTTTTGTTTCAATCACAAAAGTCTCCCTTCTCAGAAACAGCTTAGGTCTTCTTCAGCAAGTGAAAACCTAGGTGCCTCATTATTTTGTGACTTTTTTAAAAGCCACTCAGATTGCCCTGAAGTTTACCACTCCCTGTCATTTTGTGTTCATCTTGGCCATGTGTAGATAACCAGGGACCTTGGGTACTCTAAAATATCAGGGCTCATGTCACCAGTTAAGGAAGTACTTGCTTCCTGTGGGATAGCTCTGCTTCCCTGAAGAGAAGCAGACACCCAGCTCAGCATCCTGAACTATCAGTCCTGGGTCAAAAAGGCAGAGGGGGAAGGCAGTCCCCCGACTCCTAGAGCTGTTGGCCACGCCTGGGAAGCTTCCCTGAAGATGCTCACAACGCTTCCTTGAAAACCATGGGGATGTGAACAACCCCAGCAGGCAGCTTTGTGTTCAAAGACCAGGCCAGCAGAAGTTGCTCCCAAAAGGAAGTAACTCAGAGAGAAGTGAGAGAAGAGTTGGAAGTACCAAAAAATGGATCAGAAATAGGCACCAAGACACTGATGTCATGTCTGGACAGTTCATCTGCTATCAGCAGCCTGAGAAGTAGTCTCTGCAGGCAAAGGAACCCAACCCTAGAGTTCACTCCCCAGTAGAGTTTCTGCCCATTTGGTTGGTGCCAAGAAGCTTCCCTGCTGTGGTAGCCTGTGTGAGCAGATCCTAGCTAGTGTGGGAAGTGGTGCTAGCTCCCTGGAAACACTGTCCCTTGCCCCCTCCACACCACCAACCTAGACACACACCTAAACCAACATCTTATCATCTTAAGGTTCAGTCTCAATCTCATATCCCCTGCTGCCAGCCCCGGAGGGAGCCGGTTTCCCTGTTCTCTGTTCTCCTAATTATCTGTATTTATGCTTTAGAGGGTGTTTCAAAGTATAAAAATGTGGCTCCTCACTAAAGCCTCTGTGCTTAGGTTCCCAGAGGGTGGGGCATGGCACGTCTGTCTTAGGCAGGGTCCCTCCAGAATAGAGAGGTTTCAGGTAGCAAGGAATCTTTTCTTTTCCATTGCCTGGGAGAGCTTTACAATGTGAAGGGAAGCTGGGGGCTGGAAGGGGCACATCCCCCAAGCCCATGATCAACTCTCCATGGCATCTCCAAGCCGACCTTTTGCTCTTCTGCAGAAGATCTCAAATGAGAGGCTTCCTAATGAGAAGATGATGTCCCAAACCAGAGTCGCTACATTTATAAAAACAACAGACTGATACTATGAAAATGAGAGCTTGGGATAGTCAAAACAAAAACAAACCAAAAAAAAAAAAAAAGAGCCTATTCTCTGCCTCAGAAGTCCTAAATTTTTAAGAACCCCTTTGCTTCAAATAAAAAAAAAATCACATTTTTAAAGTATCCCCTTTTCTCATTATGAACAGAATTCTGAGATATGATATTTTCACATTCCATAAAAATCCAAACAGCTGCTTTATTTCCAAATCACATGGTGCCTTTTATATCCTAAGGATCTATATCGGCATTCACAGTTTTAAAAAGGCAAATCCCAACAGATGTGGTCACCATCTTTCCTAAAACTAAATAAAGACAGCAAGAATCATTTGTCAGCTCCATCACATTCTGGTGTAATGCAATTTCACACTCAAATCTCTAGCCACGTTTAGTCAGTTCCCACTGTGTTACTGAGCACCTGTGCCTGACTGGCCACCTCTCAAAGGCAGAAGTCAATAAAAATACCTGACAGTGAGAGAAATCAAATCCGTGCTTAAGCCCGGAGTGGTGGGACACAGCTGAAACCCAGCAACTCGGGAGGTTGAAGCAGGAGGATAGCTAGTTTGAGGCCATCCCAGGCAACTTTGTGAGCCCTTGTCTCAAAATAAAGTCTAAAAAGGGCTGGGGATGAAGCTCAGAGATAGAGTGTTCCTGGATTCAGTCCCCAGTACCAAAAACCCACCAACAACCACCACCAAAAAACTCTGCTTAATATTTCCTCAACAATTTGGCAAGTCCTTGTAGGAGTTGGCTATGTTAGAGGCCAATAATACTGACTATGATATCAATATATTGTGACATCTATCTGTATATTAACCAATGTGGGCAGGAGTTTAGAGATATGGTATAACATGAAAAAACACTTTAGTGACCAGGCCGACTAGTGTCCCTTCACCATTCTCTTGTCCCTCCTTTCCTTTCTTCTTCCACTAATACCATACTCATTGTTCGGGATCAGAAAGAACCCTGTTGCAGTGTGACAGAGCACTGGGGGGGAGGGAGGGAAGGGCACCAGATGCAGCTGGAGAGGTAGGAAGGGGAAGAGCATGCCAGGCCTTGTAGGCCTTAGCCAAGCATTTATATTCATTACAAGAACAAAGGGAACTGCCTGCAGGGGTTTAGGAAGTGAGTGTATGATGTAATTTACATTTTATAAAGATCACTCTGCTTAACTGTCTGATGAATTTATGCCTTTTGCCCTTGATCAGATCACAAGCTCCTGGATGGCAGGACTATAGTCACACCCATTTAATACCCCACTTCATACACAGGCAGAATTTTAAGCCAATGGCTCTCAGACTTTCGAGTGCATCAGAATCACCGGAGGCTCATTCAGACATAGCTTGCTGGACCCCACCCACAGTTTCTAATTCGTAGGCCTGGGTGAGGCCTGAGAGTTTATATTTCTAAGAAGTTCCCAGATGATTCTGCGATATAGGTTGCTGGACCAGGAACTGCACTTAGAGAACCTGTGTTTAAATCTCTTTGTTGAATAAAGCAATCAAAGAAGGAACATGGGAATATTTTTTAAAACAAAACAATAGAAGCCATCTGTGGTTTGGGTGTGACCTAAAATAGCAATCATTTATTCTAATTTTTCTTTTTAACAATTATTCTCTTTGCTATATTATATGATAACAAAAGGATTAACCCATCCCATGCAGAGATACTCAGAAAGGAAATAGATAATTGTGATTAGACAAGATGAGACACTTTAGAGACTGTAGTGCCAAGTTCAATTATAAATTAAATGTCATTTGAAGATTTTTTTTTCCCAAACGGATGTGATTTGTGTAGGCAGTTATTACCTTCCTCAATCCAGGAAGGCTATGCAATGGTAAGGTATCCCTTGGTGCTATTCCAAAACTGCAAAAATTTTTCTTAGAACTCAGGAATAAAGCTCACCATGACCCACAGCTGTTTGATTGAAAGTACACAATGTTTGTGAACACACCAACTATAAAACAAAGTAAATCCAAACTCTTCCTAGAAGTAAGCCCTAAACATCCCAATTTAGGTGCTTATTATGCCAAAATAGTAATGCAACTCATCAATGCCAAGTGCATCAAGACTCATAATCAACACAAGGAGAACACACTGCAGACCTAGGAGAGTGGGGTGCAGATGACAGACAAGAAGTATGTGGCAATTGTCCTCTGTCTCTGTGGGTTTACTCTGTCCCACCGCAGGTGAGACTGTAGTTTCCAAGTGCAAGTGTCCATTCACCCAGAAATTTTTATTTCAGGCTAATCAAAAACAGGCAATTCAAACTCAGGGACAGCTTGAGTATTGGGGGTTCAGTAGGAAGCCCTCTTGCCTGAGGCCAATAAGGTCATAGGTTCATGATCTGATTAGGGAGGAAGTTAGTTAGAAACACTAGGATTGTGCAGGATCTTCTTAAATACCCAGGGTGAACCTAAGTGAAACTCATCTATTCTGTAGTTATTCAGGATCTCAGGATCTATTATGTCAACTGGAGATGGAAGAAACTCAGAATATCAAAAAAGCCTCCTGATCAAAACAAGAAAGGCTATTGAAAATAAGAGACCTTGGCAAGCAAATAATAGTCATTAAACAGCAACCAATGAGTCCTTCTCTGTTTCCCTGTAGCAAGGCACAAACAATACTATGTGAAGCCATTGTGAGGCAGATGCAGCTCAGGTCATGTGGAAGATGAACCTGGATCCCTGCTCCATGCTGGTGGGAATCATGGGACAGTCTGCCTCTGAACTGAATACAGAAATAGCAAACCCTACACTTTAACAAAAAGATGAAATACACATGAGCTCCCAAATCCAAGGTCATTATGCAGAGTCTCTCTGAAACCCAGCACCCCAAGGCATTTGCAATTACCCACCTCCAAAAGGGTAAAAGTAAACATTGGACCTGCTCTGCTGTTAAACTGCCACCGGATCCTCCCCGCTGTCTCCCTCCTCCTCTTCTTCTTTACAGACAGGTAAAGTTGGATCTCTTGAAGGAACTGGGGGCTCCCACTCTAGGCAAAGGTTGGACAGGTGATCAATGTACAGCATGAGATTTGGCTGTGCCTACGTGCCTCCGACAGAGCTGGATCATCTAGGGCAATGAAAATTGTAAGCAACAAGAAAGCAGTATTAACAGCAAGAGTAGGGCAACCCAGGCAGCACATACAGTTCCCCAGGACAGCCAGCAGCCATTCCTTCCCTTTTTCATTCACTCCACATGCTCCAGGCTCGGCTTAGAGTGAGAGTCGTGACAAACAGAAACACAGGCCCTGCTCTTGTGGAGCTTAGGGGCTATTCAGGAGACAATGAGACAATTACAGGACAGCAGGTATGAGAACCTACAGGGTGCTATGGGGTACAAAGCCAAGGCAGCCAGCCCAGACTGAGGGTGGGGTGGTGGGGTGAGTGGATCAGGGAAGTTACCAGAAGAAGTGACATTTAACACTGAGCCTGAGGATCCCCAGAGTTAGCCAGACAGGCGAGGAGTGAGTCAGTATGTGCAAGACTCCTGAAGCCAGAAAGCAGGGCTGGTCCAAAGTTCTTTGTTCTTAGCCATTTTCCAGCCCAGGATCCTATGCCCATCTGGAGCATCCAGACTTGGAGTCAGCATCCCTCATCACAATTCCCAGAAAGCTGCTGTGCTTCTACTGCTCTGTTGGGATCTCAGGAAAGAAAAGGACTTAAAAATTGCTAGTTCCATAAGAAGTGGGAAGAAAACAATGTGAGGTTGAACCGCCCTAAAATAGACCTGATTGTAGCGACCGGTTTTATGGACACCAGCATCGGGGGTGAGATGCCATCTCACTCTGGATTGTCAAAACAGACAACCTTGAGATGTGGGATTGCAGCGGGTCATCACCCGCTCAGGATCCCCAAGGCCTCTTTGCTTTGACTCTCCCACCTTACCCCTTTTTTCCCCTCCAAGTCCCTGGGAAATTGCTGAGGGAGCATTTTGGGCCTCTTCCCCTGGTTGTTTTCATGTCTATAAGGCTATCACAGACATAATACCTCCCACTTGCCTTATGCAATTAAGGGAAATCAGATAGCTGATGAAGCCAGTATTGTCAGGGCCTCCATGTGGGGAACAAAGCAAAACCAAACAAACAGCCTGCGAAAGTCCCAGAAGTCTAAATGTTGCCCAGGGTTCTAGCTGCCTGTGCAACATGAAAGAAACCATTGTAAGGGATGGTTAAAGAAAGAGCAATACGCACATGGTCATTTTACCAAAAATGCACAATCCAAAGAAGCTTTCCTTCATGTTTCAATATTATCATATAACTCAAGTCCTGCAAACAACCTCTGACTGAATACAGAAAGAAACAAAACCCCGACTTCTAAGAAGCAGAGCAGGCAGTTATTTTAGAGACAAAGAAAGGATGTCTTTTTAACCTATGACAACACAAATTTGTTTAGGTTTTCCCTCCACTAAGTAAGTAAGCAATTAGGTTTTTTCCAATAAAAATATCCCCATGCATGTGCAAACACCAGGGGCAATCATATAATTACCCTGCCCAATCAGATTCAATTGCTGACAGTTGAGTTCCCACTGCTCATTAACTTCAGATCGCAGTGAGGTCTTTACAGAAGCCCTTTCCGTCTCCTTACAAAGGTTCCTATGATATCGGGAGCAGCCCCGGCACTACCTCATACAGGCTAATCATCCCCAAATCACCAGGGCCAAGGCCGGCCTACTCTGGCTTCCCTCTGAAAAAATAAAAAGAGAAATGCGAAGACACGTTGGCTTAAAGGCCCTCGGTTCATTTGGGGATCTCACTTCTAAATATAATAGTAACCTTTCACCCCCACACTTTAAGTGCCGTAATTACGTAATTAAAACCAATTATGTCATTTAACAGAGACTTTTTCAAGCCAATTACCTCAATCATTGACCTCAGAAGATTTCCCACACTGACCTGCAACAATGAGGATTGGGATAAATTTAGACACTGGCTTCCGAAGGCTGGCACGGACTAGTTGGTCTAGATTCTTCTAGACCCTAGAAGCTGAAGTTAATTCATTTGGTTCTAATAACAATACAATCCTTCCATATGCTAAGGCCATTGATTTTTTCATACCCACCAGGATAGTAATCTCCATGTTGTAGACGAAAAAGAGGAGGCAGGGAGAATTATAAACTTATCTCAAGTTATGCAGCTAGTTAGCTGCAATGCTAGAGCTTGAGAACCAAAGTTTTCTACTGTAAAAACCTCTGTTTCTCAGAGGCAAGTTGTGTGTGCATACGTGAGTTTGCCTGTGTGCACGTGTGTATTGTGTTTATTCTCCTCCCATTTTAATTATCTTACTCCAATTCCCCTGTGTCACATCTGTATCACATGAAGTTTCATTCCAGTTCAAGGGTATGCTGTAACAAAAGCCACAGCCAATCATTTCCTGGAATTGGTACTGGGATGAGCATATAATCCTATCCAATCCAAAGATACACGCTGAGCCTTTGCTGAGAATTATGGGAAAGGGTCTCACTCTTCTGTGTTTGCCTGTGACAAGGGGTAGGCTCTGGCAGTTAAGCTGCCATCTTGCCACCAGCAAAGGAATGAGGGAGAACGAACCGAGAGATGTGGAGAGAGAGATTGGTTCCAGGAAACAATCCCTTCCTAACTCCTGGTTGCTTCATGTTGAAAGTATGGGTTAGTACAAAAGTATGCTAGAGAAAATATAAAGATTTGTTACCACCTAAGTTTTGGCAGACTTGATCACAGGGAACAAAACTGATTGAGCATGGCTGTGAGCAGCAATCTTGCCTCCTGCTCACAACATAGTTAAATGCCTCCAATTTTCAAGTTATTTAAAGAACATAGCATTTTATGGGCAGGAGGAAGCACTTTAATCTGCAAAATGATTTTTATCACAAACTAAACATCCTTGTAACTTTTTGGTCCTCCACTTTAGTCAAAGTTGTCTTTCCTTGGAGCTGAGACAGCTGTTGGAGCTGAGAGGATCTCCCTCGACCTTGCACTTTGCCCTGCTCAATGGTATTCTTGTACTCTCCAATTCCTGGATCCATGTGGGATGTAAAAGCTCAGGATACTTGCATTCATTGAAATGGAGCATTTCTCTCTCTCTCTCTCTCTCTCTCTCTCTCTCTCTCTCTCTTTCCTCACTGGCTTTTAGGGAAAGAAAAACAAACAAGAATAAACAAATAAATAAAAGCAAGAATCCTTTTAAGGGCAGGTTTCATCCTTGGCATTATTGACGTTTGGGACCACATCATTGTTTGCTGTGAGGACAGCCTTGTGCACTGTAGGATGTATGACATCATTTCTGGCCTCTACCTACTAGATGCCAGAAGCACTAATTTCTTCAGTTTGGGACAAAGAAAAAAATGTTTGTAGACATTGCCAGATGTCGCCAGGTGGGGGTCAGGATAACTTCTAGTTGAGAACCACTGCTTTAATAGAATGTTTGAGCTATTCATTGGGTCTTCCTTACGGCACCTGTGAAAATGTGATCCCTGTAGTATATCCATGTCTTGTACCTGAAGTGTGAAAGTGAGGGAACCATCACTTTCTTTAGAACAAAAACTATGTAAAGTATCCCCTAACAAGAGCTGACAAGAAAAGAAACAAAAACCAAAAAACTCAAGATGGCAACACTGTTGACTATCACAGCTATGAAACCATTGAAATTGGCTCTTCCATTAAGGACCAAGGTGGAGGAAAAATGTATCAGACACAAATAATTTTACCTAAAAAACCAGCAAGAGAAAAAGGATGTAGAGAAGAAAAATTAGAAACAAAGAGTAAGGGAACAAAGAAAAATTAAATACAAAGAACTCACTGCAGTGAGTTTCAAAGTGGGTATTTGGTTCCTTGCTTCTACAGGAAAAGAAAATGAAACCTTAAGGCTATTGTTATCTTTTCTAGATTCAAGTGTAGCCCAAAACATGAAAGAGGCCCAGCTCAACAGAAACCACCCCTCCAGCAAAAACCAAAACTCAGCCACTTGGTAGAAAAAAGTAAAAAATAGTAACGCTTCACTGATTTGGACAAATGTGGGTGCAGACATTTAAGATAAGCAAAATTGATGGGTCTGTAGCATATTTTTTAAGGAAAGGCATTTACTTTCCCTGCAATGCCAGGCATAACCAAGATTGGCTTAGCAGAAGTCCTTCCTTCAAAGAATCTGAATGAGAATAGACAATTCACTGAATTAGCATCTGACTTGTTTGGCTGGGGAGAAGGGCTTTGAATTAGTTCTTCCCAAGGAGGGCGATTAGTTGTACCTTCACACTGCAGCCAGCCCAGGGATTCCAGAATGGTGGGTTTCCAAAAGACTTTGCTTTAAGGCACAGACTTCTGCCTCAAAGGTCCTGAGTTCTGACCTGATCTTCTGACTAGAAGATCCATGTTGGTGTGTGTGTGTGTATGTGTGTGAAAACTGGGCTTTGTTGGGGCTTCCTGGTATGAAAATATTTGGATTCTATGGTTGTCTAGCTACAAGTTCTAATGCCTTGGGGGTGAAGAGGTGTAAGGGAGGTCAGGTTCCCAGAGATGAGACATCCTGCTTCCTCCTTTCCCAGGTGCCTCCCCTCTGGCTATCAGCTTACTCCTGCTGTCCCATTCTTCTGGCCCCACATTCTCCACCTGCCTGTGCATCTCTCTAGTGAAACCAGGCTGCTTAGGGAGTGGCATGTCTCAACTGGGGAAAGAATGGGAATAAAGGGATCTCTGAGGGGCCTTGGCTTTCTTTTCATTGTTCTTGTAGGCATGTTGGCTTTTCTTTTGGTAAAGAGCTAACATGTAGAACAAATAGAAAAACAGAAGTGCTTGTCCTGAGGTTCTAGCCACAGTGACTCTTGTGAGTTGCATAAACAACTCTTCTTTCTTAAACCTGGAGCTAGACCTCAAACCTTGATAAATGAAGAGATTCTCAGGGCACGCTCTTCCTATGAGTCGGCATCCCCAACCCACACTCTCAACCGAAATTCTTCATCCAGCCAATGGGTATTTCTCGGAATATCTGGGTATGTCAACAAAGACAGAAGAACAGCCCATGTCCCCTTTCCAACTGGCACTGGAACCACAGAAGGAGTTGTGTATGTTTTGCTGGAAGTGCCTCCTGACTGAGTCTACC